TCTTTCATTTCGTGAGGCCTGTTATGTGTTGGGTTTACTTGATGATGATAAGGAATTTGTTGATGCTTTCAAAGAAGCGAGCTTCTTCTCTTCAGGGTTTTATATGAGAATACTATTCATTTATTTTGTTGTGGACGAAATCGATGGCTTGCCCGGAATTTGTTTGGGAACATTGTTTGAGGTTCATGGCAGACGACATACAACCCACCCAGAGGCGAATGTTGCAGCATCCAGGTTTTAAAATATTTAGGATGAATGTGTTTCTTTAGATTGTGTGTGTGTGTGTTGTGTGTGTTGTGTGTGCATTATTTTGAATTTCATTTTTTTTTGTGTTTGAATCTTTAATGTAACTTCTTTCTTGCAGAATTGACTCTTTCTGACGACCAGTTAGAGAAATTGGCTTTGGCTGAATTAGAAAAATTGTTGTGAGGTCGTGGAAAGAGTTTACGAGATTACCCTTCAATGCCAACTGTTTCCCTTGATTCACTACTTTCTTCCAGTGACAGAATGGTGTACGAAGGGTTAAGCTATAACCGCACTGCAATGGCCGAAGAACACGCAACATTATTTCATTCTTTAATGGATGAGCAACTCCGTGTCTATGAAACAATAATGCAATCTGTGGGAGACGATGTTGGTGGTGTTTTCTTTGTTTACGGGTATGGCGGTAGGAATGGACTCGGGCCGGTTCGGGCCTGGGCCCGGCCGGGCCTCGGTTCTAGGAAGGAAGGCCCGGAACCGGCCCGGATATCCCCGGGTCCGGTTCGGTTCGGGTCACCCGCCCGGTTCACGGGCCGGGCCGCCCGGCGGGCCGGGCCGCCCGGCGGGCCGGGCCGAGCCTATTTAATTTTTTTTTTTAATTATTATATAATTAGAATAAATCTTATTACAATTACAATATATTATATTTGAATTGAAGTATATTTATTTCAAATAAGAAGTACAATTGAGAATTAGGATGAATTTAAAAAATGTAATACATTTTGTAATAAAAAATCAATCGGACTCTCCGCCTTCGGTTGTTTCCTCCATAAAGTGGCGGGAGGGAGTGATGGTAATTTCTTGAGTTCTTCGTTGGGCCTTCAACCAATCGTGAAAGCAAACTAGTGTCTCAAGAGAGCTCGGGCTCAACCTCGTTCTAAAATCGGTTAGGACGTTGCCGGCCGCACTGAATTCTTGTTCCACGGCAACGGTTGATATCGGCATTGCTAGTACTTGCTTAGCCATCTTTGATAAAATCGGGAATGTTCTTTCATTTTCCTTCCACCACTTAAGAACGTCAAAGTCATCACCAACTTCATAATCAACATTCAATGTTAGATACAAAGAAAGCTCGTTACCTGAGCTTTGTTCAGTAGCGGGAGTTGCTCTACTTTTTTTCAAAAGAGAACCAAAAGCGGATTTTAAAAGTGATTTTCCTTTAGATGAAGAAGATGTTCGTTGCATGGGAGGGGGTGCATTACCATATTGTGCATGAAATTCATTATACAATTGATGAAATAAATTACTAACCTCGTTGAATTCTTGTTTAGGGTCGATGGGATTATCATCGAACTCTTGAGTTGGAAAAAAAGAAGCATAATAGTAATCTATACAATTTGCCAAGTAAGGAAGTTTATAACGAGGATCAAGAACAAATGCAATACCATATATATGCGGAATATGTGAATAATATTTTAAAAACTTTTGTTTCATGAAATCACAAAAATAACTAACGTAAGCGGCGTCGGAAAATTCACAAAAAGCGCCGGCGAGATTAACAGCTTCAACAAAAAATTCGTTTGCGGTAGGTTTATAAACATGACTAAAAGTTAGAGTTGCGTTATTAAAATATGCCAAAACATTAACAATTTTTTCACAAGTGTCGATGTCAGCCGGTTTTATAATATAGTTACAAGTTTGTCTTAAAAAAGCTGGAAAATGATCTTTATATCTAACAAGTACTTGAATTAAATTATAAGTACTATTCCAACGAATAGACAAATCTTTAGGAAAAGCACAATAATTCACACGTCTATCCTTCAAATATTGCCGCCATTGCATTTTTAGTGGAGTGTTAGCCCAAATCAATTTAATTCCCCCCTTCACTACCTCCAAAGCATTTCCTAATGCCGCTAAGCCATCTTGTACACACAAATTTAGAATATGACATGCACAACGTTGATGAAAAAATCTACCCATCAATGTAGAAGCACCACACAATTCACGTAATCTAGGTATAGCAGCAGTATTATTACTAGCATTATCAAAACCTACAGCAAACATCTTATCAATCAAATTATACTCAATTAAAATACGTTCAATGAGAATATAAATATTATCAGCAGTGTGACGATCATTGAATTCACGAAAAGCAAGAACACGTTTATACATATTCCAATCATCATCAATATAATGTGCAGTTAGACCCAAATAATATAAATGATGATAAGTATCCTCCCATATATCGCTACAAATACTAACACGTCCATCAAAGTTTGCGAAAAATATTTGTAATTTTTCTTTTTCCAAGTTATATTGCCTTATAACTTCTTTTTTAATCGTTTTGCGACTATAATTTCTAAATTGAGGATTTAAAGTACCTTGAGCATAATCTCTTAAAGCAAGACTTTCGGAAAAAATAAAGGGTAAATTTTCTTCAACAATTAAATGAGACATACCAGTCAAATGTTTTTTATCATCATAGGAAAAATTACCAAAGGGTTGAGAATTTGCAAACCTTGATATTTGTGTTTGCTTCCCCTTTCCTTTGTCTATTTTCGCATACTCCACAACGTGGGTGGACTGAAGATGCCTTTTGAGACTCCCGTATCCGCCAGAAATTCCCAAGCTAAACTCTTTCTTGCAATGATTGCAACTTGCGTACCATTTTTCGGTTTTTTCGTCTTTCCTTTTTGTAAAATTGTTTTCAATAATAGCAGATTTAGATTTCTTACCGATTTTGGTTGTAGTCGTTGAAGGGCCCTCGTCCTCTTCCTCATCATCCGGAGTCCCGTCGCCCCCCGCGTCCTCCTCCCCATCGTCATCCTCGAGCTCCTCTTCATCGATGGTTGTCGGGAATTGTTGTTCTTGTGCAAAACGTGGATCATTTTGGGACAATAGGTGTTGTAGTTCCTCGTCGGACATCATCATACCATCTCGCCGTTGGTAATCCGTTTCAAAATCATCTCGACTTTGAAAAGAAGACTCGGCTCGCGCTTTACCTTTGCCTTTGCGTGAAGTAGATCGAGTCGATGCAATCTCCCTCTTGCGGTTGCGTTGGAGATTACCCACATCTACAGAATGTCTACCTCGCTCCATATTTAAAATTGAACAAATATTAGCACTTAACTAATATGAGAAATGTAAAAATTAACTAGTTTTGTTATTTTAATGAGATATGTAGCAATTAACTAATATGAGAAATGTAAAAATTAACTAGTTTTTTTTACTTTAATGAGATATGTAGCAATTAACTAATATGAGAAATGTAAAATTGTAGCAATTAACTAATTAACTAATATGAGAAATGTAAAAATGTAGCAATTAACTAATTAACTAATATGAGAAATGCACAAATGTAGCAATTAACTAATATGAGAAATGTAAAAATATAGCAATTAACTAATATGAGAAATGTAAAAATGTAGCAATTAACTAATTAACTAATATGAGAAATGTAAAAATGTAGCAATTAACTAATTAACTAATATGAGAAATGTACAAATGTAGCAATTAACTAATATGAGAAATGTAAAAATTAACTAGTTTTTTTTACTTTAATGAGATATGTAGCAATTAACTAATATGAGAAATGTAAAATTGTAGCAATTAACTAATTAACTAATATGAGAAATGTAAAAATGTAGCAATTAACTAATTAACTAATATGAGAAATGTACAAATGTAGCAATTAACTAATATGAGAAATGTAAAAATGTAGCAATTAACTAATATGAGAAATGTAACAATTAAGTAGTTTAACTAATATTAATATGACAAATGAAACAATTAACTTTAACTACTTTAACTAATATTAATATGACAAATGAAACAATTAAGTAATTAAATAGATAAACGAGAAGTGTATATATAAATCAAATGTATAACTATATATAGTATATATAAATATATAATGTGTAAATATATTATAAGTAATATATAATATAATGTATAACTATATTCTAAGTAATATATAATATAATGTATAACTATATATAGTATATATAAATATATAATGTGTAAATATATTATAAGTAATATATAATATATATGTATAACAATATATAGTATATAATATAATGCGTAAAGAATTATAATATGAATGTGTATAAGTATATATTTATAAGTAGATAATTAATATTATAATATATAAGTAGATATAATAATTATATAAATTATATATATGTAGAAAGAATTTGGAGAAGATGAAGAATGAAGATGATTGAATATGAGAGATTAAGAGAATAGAGAATTTAGATTTTAGAGAGTAGAAAGAGTTGTAGAAGAAGAGGTGTAAAAAATGTATAGAAAATAGGAGTATAAATAGGTTTTTTTTTGTATACCCCACCCCCACCCCCACCCCACCCCCCCTAACCCCCCAGACCCCCCCTCCTATGCTCCCAACGGCTATAGAGCCGTTTGGGAGGTCTCCCAACGGCTAGTAGAGCCTTCAAATTTTTTAAAATTTTTTTTTTTGTGACCGTTGAGGCCCGGCCTGAACAGTAGCAGGCCGGTCCGGTTCACCAAATTATAAGCCCGGGCCCGAACCGCAGTATGACCGGGCCGGGTGGCCCGAACCGTGACCTAACCAACAAACCGGGCCGGTCCGGGCCCGCACAGTAGCGGGCCGGTCCGGTTCCGGGCCGGTTGGCCCGGCCCGAGTCCACCACTATATGGCGGATCAGGGAAAACATTTGTGTGGAAAACACTTTCTGCCGCACTTCGGTCTAAGGGGGAAATCGTCTTAAAAGTGACATTGCCGTAATAGTCAGAGCACTAAAAAGTAAAAGCTCTCGCTTTGACAGTATGCAAGTATTCCAGTTTTAACATAAAATAACTCTTTTTAAGAAAACTAGGCACCCTTTTCCCACAATTTTCTTGATCACTTGATCATATTATCTATAAGAAAGCAGCTTTGCATCATAACCAACTAGTTGTCTTAAGTTTACACAATCGGTGTGTCAACAGCAACATACCACACCAGACAAGAGTTTAGCATAATGTGTATAATAGGCCAAAACTAAAGAAAATATATAGCATGTCAGTTCCACAACATAAACGATGAAGGCCTAAAGTTCCATAAAATTGAGGGTGGCAAGGCAGTATATATATATATATATATATATATATATATTGTGACAGGATCCCAAAAGAGATGCTTTGTTGCGATGCAGGATGGGATCAGGTCTTCTTGCCTTGAGAGCACCAGCTATAGCAAAATCTAAAAAACAAAGCAAGACTCCCGGAATATTTTAAAAAGAGAGATTCTGCATCAATCAGAGCTATTGCATTTTCTTGGAGCTGGAAACTTTCCTAACAATGCTAGACTTCAGTTTACGTGCAGAAGAAATAATTTCGAGGGCAAAGTGATCTATTTCTTCCTCCTTTTTCTCGTACACCAAGAAAGCAACAAACAAAACTGGGATTACTGTAGCAATGAGAAAAGAAATGGTGGTTAGAGCCTCTTGCTGGAAACTGTGAACTTCAAACTGCACATTTCTGTTCCAAGTGTTGCTCACAAGCGCACATAAGATGAACGTATTTCAGGACAAATTAGAATTGGAGACAAATATGTTAGAACATGAGCGAAAGAGATGAACCTATTATGAATAAACTGTGTAGTGAAAAGGTCCCCAAGATGCTCAGAATCGTTAGAGAGGAAATCACCTGTTCCAAAAAATAAGGTTTACGTGACAATTGGTTAAAATGCAGCATATTTCTCAGAATAAAAAATAATAATCATTTTAGTCAAATTTTCATATTTCTTTACAAAGTTGAACTTGCTTTCTTTTTTTCTCACTCTCTAGATGGATTCATATGCACACTTTAACATACTGTTATCACGGATCACCAACATAAATACTTCTTTTGTGTAGTAAATGCTTTTATCTTATTGTCCGCTTGTGAGCAGATTCCCTCCAAAGTGAGTTTAAATATTCAACTCGGATAAAGGAAAGGTCTACTCAGTCCATATTATATTTAAATTAATAATGCGCCTATAACCAATCAACCATTTTTATTCACATAGAGTTGATTCAATAAGGCACTAGAAACTGCAAAATTTTGCAGCCTCCCAAGAGAATTAATAATATAATCACTACCGATGGGCGTAGCTCAACTGGTAGCAAGAGAGTGTCACAAGGGTTAGGTCCCGGGTTCGAATCCCGGCAACTGCGATGAGGGGTTACTATACTAAAAATGCATAGGGCCTCTGCAAGTACCGGGGACAGAGTCTCATTCTCTATCTATCAGATTGTGATTATAGTCCAATTTACATCCTCCCAACGTATCGTCCGGTCGGGTTGGGGGCCCTCAGGGATGGGGTGTCATCCTTTTTTTTAATAATATAATCACTGGATTTAGACATGGCAAACAAAATGTAGTTCCAACTGGTTCCGGTTTAGGCCAACTAGTTTGGGGTTCCTACTTTCTAGTAATAGAGGCTTTGCCTATTTAACTAGCCTTCAAAAATCCTTTTCACACTTTCTTGCTACTTTGGTGGCACAAGTCAATGTCAGGTTTTGTACTATTTAAAAGGTCTTGAAAAGCTCTTGGTTGTATGTTTCGTACAGCACTCTGGGAGTTATTTTAAATTTTAAGATCTTTTTTGAGAAACTACTCTTAGGGCCTGTTTATTTACGACTTAATGGACTTAATGGGGTTGGTGACTTAATGATTCAGCCATTAAGTCGTGTTTACTTACGACTTATCAAAAACATAAGTTATTCGCTTAGACCAAAATCAACTTACTGGTTCAGCCCAAAAATAGGAGTCCTTCCGCTGCAGACTAGAGAACAGACCATACTTTTTTTTAACCCCATGATCATTTCTCTTATCAGTCGGTTTCCCTCATCTTCTTCAGAGTTCAGACAACGGAACAGACCATTTATACACACTGGAGCAACTAACCAGGGTCATCTCCTCCATCTTCATCATCAGGTATATCTTTAATACGAAGTATAATCTCATAATTTTATATTTTCACATTTTCATTGGGTATGAGTTTTTGGAATTTATCCCATGATTTGTATGACTTCTGATATTTAAAATTCTTTTTCTAACTATAAATTTATTCTAGGTAATTTCTGCACAATTGGGCAGCTTTTTTCGGCAACTGTTTTCGGAAACCAGCTCGTTATTGCTGCATATTTTTTCTGCCTTTCATAACAGTTTTTTTCCTGAATATATTAGCAATTATTACTCCATTATGTTGGCAGGCTATATCTGGATTTATTCTAAGCATTTTCAGCATATTTGGGCGGCCTTCTATGCATTTTAAGCAGATTTTTTCTGTGAATTGCAGCAGGGTAACTATAGATTTTTTACTTTTCATAACAGTTTTATTCTCCATGTTATTGAATACTTTATTTAAGATATTTTAAGCATATTTGTGAGTTTTTTGCAATTCTAGGAGTTCATTGTTGCATATATTTTGTAATTGCTTGTTGTGATCACTATGTATTTCCGGTATAAAGAAATATGGTGATTAGTGATTGTTATCATGATTTTATTAGACAATATAACATTCAAGTTGAGTTATTCGAAGAATGAGACAACGGCCTATATTCAACAATGAAACGCAAGATGAACACAAAGAAAGTGAAGTAGATGAGATACAAGGGGTACACAAAGCTCATAATATATGATGAATTTGCAGAATGAAATTGTTAATAAGCTGGTAGTCAATGCTTAAATTTAAGATGTTGTCATAAATCGTAACACTATTGAACTTATGCTAGTTATGAGATTTTTTAAGTAATTCATATTATAATAATTTTGGCATTCGAAATTATGTTACAGAACGAGAAAAATGAACTTTTTCCATCATTTGCAATGGAGCCAAAGATTCACTATTTTTTGACTTGGGAATATGATGGAATAAAGCAAAATGGCTCACCAAACTGTCTACGCTTCTTTGTTATGAAGCTGCAGTCGGTGCATGCAATTTTCAACGTGATTTTCACTATGGGTCATCCGGAAACAGTTTCTCTATGCATTAGTACAGGAGGGGTAAGACTGCGTACATCTGACCCCCCCTACCCCACCGTAAGTGGGAGCCTTTGCGGCACTGGGGTGGTGATGATGATGAACGAGAAAAATGAACTGACGATTAAGGTTCAACCGTTCAACACTTGTTCCTGACAGAAGGGTAAATTGGTTATTCACTTATTTGACATTATTTAGACTCCTCATCCAGCACACAAAGTAAACAATTCGTTATTACAATGTCACTTAATCCATAATCCATATAGACATCTTAATACAAACATACATCTTAATACAAAGTAAAGCTTGCTGTTTCATGGAAAAAACAGCCTCTTAGTATTAGTTAGTCAAAACAGTTTGTTATACCAAACAAGATTACATAAAACAGCAAGCTTTCATCAAACAGTTACAACCTTGATGAGAGTCTGGGCACTCTAAGAATTAATCCCAGTAGGGATTTCTCTAGAGTTTACATCAGGATGGCCAAAAGGGTGAATGATTAATTAAAAGATGGGAAGGCCTAACTAACTGTGAAAGTTGGGTCCAGATAAGCTGGAGGGAGAGAATAAAAGACCTGCTGATGATCGAGAAAGGATATTCTGGAATTAGTTAGTTTGTTTGGAGAGTGGGGCCCTCTCGAATGGCTTCCAGTTTGTAATCTCTTTTCTGCAAGTTATCGCTCATTTCCATTGTTTGTTCTGAGATTTTACAGACTTTGCATTGAGATTTCCAGTAATATATCTCTCATATAATGCTGGAGTGTTGTGTTCTTATAATTTGGTATCAAAGCACTGACGATCGTTGTATCTGTGGATGGTCTTAACCCAATCGAACATGGAGAATCGGATAGATAACCTGGAGCAATCCCTGTGGAGATGCAAGCCATGATGGATGACAGGATGCAAATAATGAGGGAGAAAATGCAGAATCTCGAAACTCACAATGATCGCCGGAGAACCAGGGGACGTTCGAGAACTTCTCGCCGCCGTCCACCATCAGATACTGTGAATGCTTCTCGTTCCAGAGGTAATTCGCATGAATCCCTGTCGGCTTCCTTCAGGCATGATAATGCCAGGATCAATGAACGTATACATACTAGTAGAAAGGTGGATTCGCCACTGTTTAGTGGTGACGGTGCTTATGGGTGGATTATCAAGGTAGAATGATATTTCAAATTGAACTAGGTGTCCGAGGCTGAAAAGGTTGAGATAGTACTGATCGACACTAATAAGTTTGAAGGGTCCAAGGGAACAACTAAACAATGCAAGGGAGGGCCTAGACTATCTCAAGATGAACTGCAAGATAGGATCAGAAGAGGATTGTGTTTTAAATATGGGGAGAAATGGAGTGAAGAGCATTTGTGCAAAATGAAAATTTTCAATTGATCACTGGAAGAATCTGAAGAGGAAGGACAGCTGTTGGAGGCAGTAGAGGATGACATAAGTGGGGATCTCAAAGCCATGCAGCTCTCTGTTCTCAGCATGGAGGGGATCAATACTCACAACACCTTCAAGGTTAGGGGACAAGTAAGAAATATGAACAAAAACAGGTCAGTCGAAATCCTTATTGACTAAGGTGCACCAACAACTTCATTTCTCCGAGATTGGTAAAAGAAATGGGACTGAACTACAATTCCAACACTGGGTTCTAGGTTGAATTGGGGAATGGAGATCATGTAGTAAACAGGGGGGAATGTGAGCAATTTCAAATATGGGTGCAAGGTTTGGGCATCACACAGGATTACTATCTCTTGGAGTTAGGGGGTACTGAGATTGTTTTAGGTATTGAATGGCTTACAAGCCTAGGTGAGGAGAGGGCTAATTTCAGTGAGTTGTCCATCAAATGGAAGGAAAAAGGCAAGGAGCAAATAATCAGGGGAGGCTTTGAGTTAAACCAAACTCAAGTATCCTGGAAAACAATCTTGAAGACCCTGCAGAAAGAAGGATAGGGTTATTACATTCACTATGAAGACATGATCCGAGCAAAGTGGGGCAGGAACATGGGAAGGAGTGGGATGAAATCTCAGGAGAATTTCCCTCAGTATTTCAGATGCAATCTGATCTACTTCCTCGGAGAGCATGTGACCATGTTATAAACATCAAAGGAGCCCTTATTCCCAATTCCAGGTCATACAGATATCCCTACCATCAAAATAGTGAGATACAAAAATTGGTGAAAAATGCTAAGTATCGGAATTCTCAGACCTAATACAAGCCCATATAGTAGTCCAGTTATTATGATAAAAAAGAAGGAAGGAGCTGGAGGGTTTGTGGGGATTACAGAGCCCTCAATAAAATCACCATCCCTGATAAGTTCCCTATTCCAGTAATTGAAGAACTATTGGATGAGTTGAGTGAAGCCAAGGTATTTTGTAAATTGGATCTGAAATCTGGATACCACCAGATTAGAATAAAGGAAAGCGGTATTCCGAAGACTGCCATTAGAACCCATGAAGGACATTACAAGTATGTAGTAATGCCTTTTGGGTTGACTAATGCCCCTACTTTTCAGGCCTTGATGAAACACATTTTGAGACCTTATTTACAGAAATTTGTCTTAGTATTTTTGTTGATATCCTGATTTATAGTAAAAATATGAAAGAATGTTGTGAACATTTAAAGAAGGTTCTACAATAGCTCCAAGACAATCAGTTGGTGGTTAATAGGAATAAATGCCACTTTGGGAAAAGGTAACTGGTTTATCAAGGGGTTTCAGCCGACCCCAGCAAGATACAGGATATGCTCAGCTAGAATAATCCTATAGATGTGAAAGGACTCGGGGGGTTTCTTGGGTAGACTGGCTATTACCGGAGATTTTTAAAGGGTATAGCAAAATAGCCAAACCTCTCACGGGCCTGTTAAAAAAGAACGGTTTCAAGTGAACCTCAGAGGCTACTCGTGCTTTTGACAGATTAAAACAGGCTATGACTTCCCTACCTATTTTAGCTAATCCTGACTTTAATAAAAATTGTATAATTGAGACTGATGCTTCTGGACATGGCATAGGAGCGGTTTTTATGCAGGAGGGTAGACCAGTTGCTTATATGAGTGAGGTATTATCAGTTGCTAAGGAAATTATATTAGCAGTTTTTATGCTAAGGAACAAAAACAAGTCATTCTATGAAAGAGAATTCTTGTCAATAGTGATGGGAGTCCAAAAGTGGAGGCCTTACCTCATGGGAAGGTGTTTTGAAGTCCACAGAGACAAAAAAAAGTTTGAAAATTTTAACAGAACAATGTTGATGGGTGAAGAGCAACAAAAATGGATAACTAAGCTGTTGGACTATAATTTCATTATCAAGTATAAACCAGACCTGGAAATAAAGTTGTGGATGGCCTATCCAGAAAGGGCAAGTATCAAGCTATCTCAGTGATCAGTTTCCAAGAATGGGAGGAATTGGAAGAACTGTTGCAAGATACTAGGTGCAACCAACTAATCCAGAACCTATTGGCCCAACCAAAGTCTCACCCTGGGTTTAAATTGAGGAAAGGGTTGATCTACTATAAAGACATGTGTGTGCTACCAAAGAAATCTTCAAACTGGATATCTTGTGGGGGACATGCTGGACATCTTAGAACCTTAAAGAGAATATCAAGTGTGCTGTACTGGGAGGGGAGGGGACAGGATATTCAAAATTATGTGAGGAGTTGTGAGGTATTTCATAGGAACAAATACCAGGCTTTAAGTCCTGCGGGTCTACTCAGCCTTTGCCTATTCCAGATCACATTTGGACTGATATTAGCCTAGATTTCATTGAAGGATGTTGTGAAGCTACATGGGTTTCCCAAGACCACTGTATCAGATCGTGATAGTGTGTTTTTTAGCTCATTTTGGTCAGAACTCTTTAAAGTAGAAGCTGAAGTACAGTACCATACTACCTAGTTACATAAATCGCCAGGCTTGCTACGATCTGTGTTCCGGATGTCGCATTTTGGATCGCGGTACAGTAGCGCGTCACATGCTGTTGGGTCGCGACTTTGGTACGATGGTTTTCGAAGCTGGTTGACATTGCTGGATGCTGACGCTGGTCGCCGTCGTTGGTTGCCGACATTGAAGTCTGGACCGCTGTTCTCTTTGTAAGACCGTTTGCCGCTACTGACCATTCCCTCTTTTTGTAACTTCTGTTCTTCTTTTCTCTTTTTTTCTCTCATTTATGTGGGTCAGCTAAATCTGGACTACAGATCTTTCCTTCTCTAGTTTTGGACTAAACATTATATTCTTTCTATTTTAACAGCTGATTTTTTAAGTAGCTGGAATTTTCTATTACTTAACTTATATTGAATATACTTTATATTACCTAAAAACTAACTTTTCAGATTTAACAATTATATATGTTAATGGTACAACGTACCGCGTACTGAAATAGCATACCAAAGAAGCCTACCCCCCACGCACCGGGTTTTCATTCCGTGTTCCGGAGCGTATCACGATCCATGTGACAAGGTGCAGTACTGCCTATCATCCTCAAACAGATGAGCAGACTGAGGTGGTTAATCATTGCCTAGAAACTTATCTGAGATGCGTAACTGGAAGCAGACCTAAGCAATGGCCCAAGCGGTTACCATGGGCTGAATTTTGGTATAAAATTAACTATCATGCCTCATTACAAACCTCATCTTTCAAAGCCCTATATGGTCATGAGCCACCAAGTTTGATTAAGGGAGACGCCTCCAGGACTGCAGTGGAAGAAGTCATCAAGCTGGCAAGCTCACAGCTGAAAGAAATGAGGTGATTAAGGAGTTGAAGTAAAACTTAGTGATGGATCAAAATAGGATGAAACAGCAGGCTAATAAACACAACAAAGATGTTTAGTTGGAAGTAGGAGAAAGGGTTTTTCTGAAGATATAGGCACATAGCCTTAAAAATTGGAAAATCTAGCAAGAGACTTATTCTGGAATTAAGCCCAAGATTCTATGGGCCATTTGAAATCATTGACAAGATCAATCATGTTGCTTACAAGCTAAAGCTCCAAGAAGACTGCATTGTACATCCAGTGTCCATGTTTCATTCATCATCACCATTACCCCCGTGCCGCAAAGGCTCCCACCTACGGTGAAGTAAGGGGGGATCGGATGTAAGCACACCGAGACTGTTACCGGATACTTCAGTGTTCCATGTTTCATGGGTAAAGATAATTGTGGCTCCTAATACTCCAACTCAACCCCTACCTAGATGTTTATCTGAGGAATGGGAACTTCAAACTCAGCCAGATAAAGTGTTGGATGCCAAGGAAACTACCAATGGAAACAAAAAATATTAGTTCACTGGAAGGATTTACCTAGCTATGAAGACTCCTGGGAAGAGTTATCCCAGTTCCAGACTATGTTTCCCAATTTTCACCTTGAGGACAAGGTGAGTTTTAAAGGAGGAGTCCAGGCACTCTAAAAGTTAATCCAATAGGGATTTCTCTAGAGTTTACACCAAGAGAGGCAAAAGGGTACATGATTAATTAAAGATGGGAAGGCCTAACTAACTGTGAAAGTTAGGTCCGGATGAGCTGGAGGTAGAGAATGAAAGGCCTGCTGATGAGGGAGGGAGGATATTCTGGAATTTGTTAGTTTGTTGGGAGATTGGGGTCCTCTTGAATGGCTTCCGATTTGTGATCTATTTCTCTGCAAGTTATCACTCATTTCCATTGTTTGTTATGAGGTTTTACTGACTTTGTATTGAGATTTCCAGTAATATATCTCCATATTGTGCTGGAGTATTGTGTTCTTATCAAGCATTTTCCTTTTAAGAACTTTTTAGTTGCTAAAAGATAAGAGGTACTAAAAATTCAACAAAAAAGTCTTTTCACCTAGCTGTGCAAAACATACACTAAGTATCCTACTTCTACTCACTATTTTCATACTTTTCTTTCTCAATACAGCTAGAGATATAGTGAAATCTATAAAGGAGTTGAAGTCTGGATGCTGGACGCCTGGACCCAGTCGAAGAAAATGATTATGTGATCAAATGCATTTAACTAGAAGGTACATTTTGAAATGTGTAATGATTACCTTGAGGAATAACACCCAATCTGATCCTCTGCAAATCGATTTTAAGCTATCTGCTGCTGAATTCCAAAAGGAAGCTACCGACCCAGCTACTTGGAAAGATGTCTCCTCTGAGACAGTGAATTTTGACTCGTGAATTTTTTCAATATTATATCCAAATCTGCACCAAAAATAAGTATATACATCAGAACTCCTGAAATTAGCCTATCTTCCTGTCTGTTCTATAAAGTTTTCCACTTACAAGTGCACATCCAATGGCATAATTTTTTAAAACTCTGAATCTCACACTGATGCCAAGTGGAGAGCAAAGACATTCTGGTACACTTGTAAAATCTACTATGCATTTATTAAAGAATAAGACATGAATCTACAGGTCTTTTATGGTTTTAATCCATTAGAGCTAGAAACATGGTACACAACAACACGGGCATTTCCTTCTTTCCCTCAGTAGCATGCAAAGGGTTATGCCAAGTTCAGTTAAGGATATTTAGAAGGTGGACTGGAGGGGCTTCCATAGAAATATGAAAAGACGTGAAGTAAGAAGTTTGTCCCCCACCTGATTCATTGGTTAGTGAACTGAGAGGTACAGACATTATTTGAACGCTTAGAATTTCTTGAGAAAGTTGGCAAAATTCTAAAGCATAGTGGCCTAGTCTTTACTTGGGGACTCATGGAGAATCCATGGATGGTTCCTTCCCTTTGGATGAGTTCTTCACTTCTTCTATAAGCAACACCTAGCCTATATGGCTACATGCCTAGACATATTGAAGCTTCCCCCAATTTTTATTTCTTTTCATCTTCTTCATTTCATTGATAGCTTGTAATTTAATTATCTTTATCAAAACAACAATAATAAAGCCTTTAGCTCAGATCAAAACAAAAACAAAAAATGAAGATCAGTTATCACAACAACGTTTAACTCATACTCCCTTTGTCCCATTGGACTTTGACAACTTTCTCTTCTTTGTTGTCCCAAAAAACTTTGACACTTTCATATTAAAACAACTAACTTGTGGTTCTGCACATTTCTCCCTCGGCACAAATCTCAACCACACAGTTTTTACTATTCTTATTATGCACCATATCAGCTAAACTCGATGCTCATGTGAACATCATTTTGTTGTGGACTCCTTTTGGGGCCACACTTATAAACGATGCATTAATGGTCCAAAGGCCCAAGAGCCAACAACTGGAAGTGGCTGAAGATAAGAATAAGGATATAGTTTCCTAATTCTAGTTAGTTTCCTAGTTCTAGCATATTTCCTTATTCTAGTTAGTTAATATGGATGAACTGGGAAACAAGGATAATGTTTCCTAAATCTGTTTCTAATTCTTGTTTCCTTTCCTATGCCTTTGACGCGAGCATAGGAAACAAGAAACCTCCTAAATCTGTTTCTAATGCTTGTCGTCTCTCACCTTGCACCAGATTCATCCGCTTTCAGAACCTTTTACCAAGTCGCATCAGAAAAGGGATCCCCGGGGACTCCACCAACGACAATGAACACAGAATTGAAACCGGCTGTACCATCAGTTAAAAAAACAGACCCTGAAGAGGATGTTAATAAACCTACGGGATTTTCACAGACAATATGGGAGGTTCAGAAATACTTAAACCAGATATCCTTACCTATGATGATATGAGCTATGCTAGTGCACTGGATTTTAAATCCTTGATTGATATCATTCCTGAACTTGGAATGGATGTTCCGATGGAAGGGCTGAACAAGATTGATGGCTTCAGATTTTATGGCGTTACTTCTACTAAGAACATTAAAGATAGGTTGGGAGTAGGAACTACTGGAAATTAGAAGGAAAAGGTTGGTTATACTACTGAAGGTTACGCTGACATGTTCCTGATGTTTGACCATGAAATCAATCCTGCTATCTTCCAAGAGGCCTTGATAAATGGTGAAAATGTAAGGATAATGCCAACAGTTTGTATACCTCTTCAAGAAGGAGGTGTAGGTTTGGATTATCAGTTTTGTATGGGTATTGCGTTTGCCTTTCACTGCTCTGAAAAAATCTATTTCCCATTCTTGGTGATCACACAGAAGAAAATGTTATTCTTATTGGATGATCCCGCTTTGGCAATTTCCTATTCTGTGGCTAGAAGCCCAGTTGCTGGGTCCCTTGTACTAGTCAGTGGCATTTACAGGGAAATTGTCAGCTCTTATCTTTGATTCTCCCGTCCTCCAGCATCAGCAACAAAGATTGAATGCTCTTGGTTCTTTAAATATGTTGACTATTGGGAGAAAGATTCCTCTTGAAGTTCAGTCAATCATCCGGGTGTTAAAATCTGTCCTATTTTCGTAAAGGAAATGCTACATCTTATTACTCAGGAGGTTGGGGTGATAAGAATGCATACCATGTGAGTGGATACTGCTATGTGCTGGTGGGCAGTGATCAATGTATCTCAAGAGTTTCATCTCTGGAAGAAGTATCAACTCTGACTCAAGACTCTTCAGTGGCGCTTACCAAGATTCGGAAAGAGGTTGATCTGGAAAGAAAGAGTTCAAAGTGTGATGGTCTCGAGTTCGAAACCCGCTAGGCACACAAGGGTTTGAAACTCAATGGAGTGAGTTTCAGCCCTGATTACTCCAGCCCCCCCCCCCCCCACCGACCCCCCTGGAGTAAAAAAAAAAAAAAAAGTGTGATGGTCCAAGCAATGAAAATGATGAGGATAATATTCAAAGTTGGCAAGCTTATGGGGGACAGTTACTGGAAGAGATGATATATTCTTGTGGCGCAGCAGGAATAATCCTCCAAGGTAATGACCAGATTGAGAGGCAGGGTTTATTTGAAAGGAGTGAAAATCCTAAAGTGAAGAACATGAAGATGAAGGTTCAAGTACTGAAGTTACAAATCCAGAATTCAGTGAGGTACTGAAGGCACAAGAATGAAGATGAAGCTGAAAGTTACGGCTGTTTCCTATCTCCCACCTTGAGGACAAGGTGGTTGTCTAAGGGGGAGACGATATGATAGCACTCAGGCAGATTAGCACTAATAATAATAATGAGAATAAAAATAATAATAATAATAATAATATGAGAAGAGTTAGTATAAATAGAGGCTGAGGGTAGAATAGAGAGTAGGCTGTTAGACAGTTAGCTTGGGCTGGGAGAAATTGAGGCAAGGTGTCTCGTTTCTTGGTGGGAACTCTCTGTACATCTTTCTTCCATTAATGAAAGCTTGTTAGTTTCTTGAACACTTTTACTTTCTTTGAATTGAATACCTACCTGCGAGAGTTCTATCAGTTTTTCATCCACCCCTGATCTGGCATGAAATTCACCTTCCATGCGAGAATCATTATAATGCATAAAAGGTTGGTTAATTACTAGGACATCCACTTGGAAAAAAAGGCTATACGCTTCATATTCATACAAGGAGAAGGAATTTAACGTATATCATGGTAATGTCAAACACAAAGACCCAAAAAACATCAACTATGTGCTCATAATTAATAATTGCTGTTCATGAATATGGAAAGAACAAATGATGAAAAAATAAAGACATGGAAACCTTTTTTCTCTTATTTGTAACATAATCTTCAGAAAACTATGCCCTTATTTAGAGGTTACTTAATGATGGCTTTAATTTATCTGTACTGAGAAGCTAAGTAAACAGTGTAAAGAGAGGCTTGCACATTAAAACAAAGTGTAAAGAGAGGTTTTGGAGGCCCCTCAAAGATGGGGTGTCATCCTTTTTTTGTATAAGAGAGGTTTGCGCATTAATGCATAACCTTGATAAAATGTGATGTCCTCATTGCCAATCCGGGCAGACAGTTCAAAACAAAATTTTGCAACTATGTTTCAGGCATTCTGCACTAGAAGTCTTTAGATATGAGAAAGCAGTACTAATACATTTAAAGTGGTTTCCATCTGTTTGCTCTAAGAGAAAGAGTGAGAAAGACATACATTTTATGTGGCAACTTTCCATGGATGAACAGGAAAATGGATGCCATTAAGAGTAGCTTGGAAATTGCTGTTATCATGGTATATCGAACTGCTATGAAATTGAAGTAAATTGTTGCAAGGGCTAATGCTGTAGTGAGTGTTTGCTTTTTGTCCCTCCAGAGAAGTGTGTCAGCAACTGCAACATGTAATGCCATAGTTATGGTTGAAAATCGTCTTCATAACTTGATTAAAAGTATTATTCAAAATAATGATATATAAGATGTAACTTAGTCACAGTCAATTAGATTTAACAAATCCTACTATGCACTATTCATCCATCCCTTCCACTTATGTTAGCTTTGATTCTCATGCAAAATGCTGGAATCCATCTCATATAGAGGACGAAAAAGCAGTGCTTTTAGGGGGGATAAAAGCAGTGCTTTCACTTTGCAGAAGTGATATGTAAAATCAACAGTAATACAGTTAAGAAATTTTTGTTGTTTGGGCACATAAAGTAGTCCATCTTGTATAATCTTCAGAAAAAAAGAACGATTTCACCATTTTGTATGACTTTCTAGAAATATAAAAGGTGTCCATCATATATATGTTTAGGGAAATGTGCTATATAAAGCACTTCATCTAAACCACACTAAAAGATTGAATCCAATCGCATAGCTAGTTCAACTCACGATCTTATGAACTCGTTTTAAGATGCCACTTTGGAATTCAATTAACCATTTCAACAGAGAGAGAAAACAATTTGAAATGTTGTGGTTCACAAAAGAGATCATAAAAACGGTGCATCACCATTATAACATACTCCCTCCGTCCCTTAAAACTTTGCCAAGTTTGACCAGCACGGAGATTAATAAAGTAAAAACTGTGTGGTAGATATTTGTGCAGAGGGGAGAGAATTAACTGAAACCACAAATTCTTTACTCAAAAGGGAAAGTGGCAAAGTTAGTGGGACATACAAAAAAGGAAAGTTGGCAAAGTTTTAAGGGACAGAGGGAGTATATAAATGGGCAGGCAAGCAAGCATAATCAGGTCGCATAATATGAATATGTATATAATCATCACGTTATGGGTTCTGCCAAAGGATAACTAACAAAGAACTTAAAACATAACTATCCCTAAAAAATAAAACCACACAAATCGGACAAGGACATACAAAAAAGTAGAATGCAGAGAGAACAACTCATTCATACCTCTTCCATTTCCAAGAAGCATGGAAGCTTTGGAAGGCCCACCCCTACTAGTTTTAATTTCAGCTCTCAAATGTGGGTATGAGTCAATTGTCCTTCTAAGACCCTCCTAGAGGAAGTCAAATCACATTGCCAGATACAAAAAGCGATTACTGAACCTATTGTTTACAATAATGAATCTTGTGTGATATCCATCCCCAACTACATTGAGTTATGTCTTAGTTTGTGATATCATATATTCATATATTTGAAATAAAATGAAATTGGGTAATTTCAGTAGATAAGAGAAGAACCTGAAGTGAAACAATAGGTGAATAGCCCAATAGATCATTTGCTTTTAAACAACTAAATGTCCTGCTGCAGGTTAAAATTCTTATTCTTGAAGGTGTCAATTGTGGGACCTTCATTCCAAATGGGCCAAGTAGCTTATATGTCCACTCCACCACATGAGCAATTGGCATCATAACATAGGCAGGAATATTAATGCTTGGCCTGCATACTACATAAAATCAGAAATAAAGGTATATATTTTAAACTTAAGTGTAAGCGAATCATGTGCCAACTAAATGTACTCATTCAAAGAGATGCAATAAAAAAACAGGTTGAAAGGGGAAAAATTGAAAGTCTTCCTTAGCAATTGGCATCATAACTATTGTTACACACAACCACCCTCATATTAACAACATCCGTAAAGCACTTTACTCATAAACTACAGACAATAATCCTATATCATAAATTGTTAGGAATAGTGTATGAAAGCTACACGTGTATTTCTCTGTAATAGAATGGTAGCTAATAGTCTGTTAGGCTTCTGTTATGTTAGTTCCAAGTCTGTTGAGACTTTACTTGTATAAATACTCTGTAACAACTCATTCTCAATAAGAAGCTTTCACTTTCATCTTCTTCCTTGCATCTATTCTAATAGAAATCGGTCTAAAGTCTTAGAAATTTCCACAATTTCTTCCATCAAAGACACGAAACAAGGACAAACGAATCAGATAATTGAAAACAGACACTTAGTATGCTAGATATAATATATTTTGAATTAACGCAGTTACACACAATAATTTGATTGGTTAAAATGGGAAACATTAATAAGATTACAAAATATATGAGCTACTACTAGTTTGTTGCAATAAATTTTAGTTTTCAAATTGTAAATGAGATCCCTAGAAATATCAATGGCTACAATTGTGCATTATAAATTTATAATGCGCATTATGGTATCACATATATCATCCTGCGTATGTGATAATTCAGAAACTAAAGGACTTGACATTTTGAGCTGAAAGAAATGTTAATCTTCAATTTTCAAGCAGAGGACTCTTGTACTCCCAAAATTGTATATTTTACAATAACTATAAGAGTAAATCATTCATTGATACACCAACCTTTAGGGTTTAACAAAACATGGCACCTGACCCTTAGTAAAAGAAAAAACATGACTATGCAATCAGAAATCACATTAATTCTGAAGCATCAACTGGCTATTTTCTCTGGCAACTCTATCATGTGTGGACGCCAAAAATTACATTGCTCAGGATGATTGTACAGAATCACGTTGGATTCAGACGAATCTCCAACATTTATTATTACAAAAGATTTTTTTTAGAAAAACTAGAGTGTTTTGTTTCGGGTCAAAGATCTTGAAGTTTTAGTTAAAACCTTGAAAGTAGATGTGTCTATGGCATATCAAATTTCGACAATTTCCTCTTATGTATAATGTATGTAGAGAAATAAGTAATTTCATAGAAAGTATGCGACAATGAATATCCAAGAGCAGGAATCTCAAGAGGATTTAAAAGAAGCATTGTGTATATGTGCAATGTATGAACCCATTATGAAGAAATCACCTTTTATAGCCAAGACCTTCAAGAATAAGTGACACAAATTCCCAAAACTTGATAGGTTCCGAATTGGTAATAAAGTATGCCTACAAGAGCAGAAGACGTTCAAGTTGGCTTCATCCATTACACTAATAATCATGATTCAAATCTTACAATTTTGAGAAATCGATATAGCCCTTCCTGGGAATACTTGATCTTAATCCCCACAGATAAATGTATCAGCATTTAAAATAATCAGTTAATCACCAATATTTTAGTTTACAGAATCAGCAAGACTCCAAATCTAACCTATCAAAGTTTTTCTTTTCAACAGTTTGATCAAAAGCTAAAAACAACAGAGAAGAAGCTTTTCATGAAGGGTATGTGGCTATGTGCAGTGGCGCAGTGCCATTCCAAAAATAAAAAAGTGCACAACAAAAAAACTAGTAACTGAACATAGAAATTATTAAAAGCTATTCCAGTGTGTGTGCATCTAATTGTCCACACAGTATCCTCGTTTCCACAACTGCACTAAGTGAAATTTCATGCATTACCTGCCCTGCAGCTTTCTCTGCAACAGCTCCTTCTGATGCTAGAGCTCGTTCAGCACATATGTGAGCATGTACAACATTCTCAACATAAGTAAAATCAAACATGTTGTTGCCATCTCCTATAATGAACTGCATCATTCAGATTTGAAATTTTGAGTCATTCAATACATCCAATGATCCAAAGATGCCAACTTTTTCATTTTTAAGAGCAAGGTGCCAGATTTGAAAATTTCTTCACAAATCAAAAGAACAATTCTGTTGATCCACTAGCTGGCAGCTGGCAAAAACATAAAGATTTTCTTCTTCGTTGATAGTTAAGATAAATTAGAAAACTATCCACTTTTGGTCGCATGACTATTAGGAAAGTCTCGCTATTAGTACCCACTCCCCAACTTTCATCTTTTCTGCTTATAGTGCATGATTGGATTTTATGCCATTTTCGGTCCTACAGACCACTCATCTGGCAAAAATGTACAATATATTGTATAGAGGTTTTCCGGATAAGTGACTCAAAGGAAAGAGTGTAGAGAGAAATCAAAAGGCATGCACCAAAAGTAAAAAAACAAAAAAAAAATCGGGAACCAAGAGTGAAAGTGGCCTAATAGCCATGGGACCAATAGTGGAATATTTTAAATAAGCTAATCAACGAACATCTATAAATTGACATATGGATAAATGAAAATATTGCATCTTCTGGACACCCATTCCTCCAAAATGTATGGAGGCTTGAGAAGTGGAAGATGTCTAAGTGTCTGACCATAAAACAATATGGAGTGTAAAAAAAGGAAATATATGGACTATGAGAGACTAGAATTTCCATTTACCTTGGATTTCCCTGCCCTTGCAGCAGTGACTAATGAAGGAACAAGCAACCTGTCACCAGGGCCAAAAATGCCACTGGGTCGGATACAACATGTCAGCAAACCATTACTGCCATTTGACTTGACAACCAGTGTCTCCCCTTCAGCTTTAGTCTCAGAATATGAATCATTGTGCTGGCAAAGAGGATACACTAAAAACACTATTAGCATATTCTCGTTTTTAATTAAAAAACAATCGAGCACATACTGATGATATATGTATACCTTAACAGGATACGGTGTCGATTCATCCACATTTAAAAGTCCATGAATGCCATCGAAAACTACGCTGGGAGAGCTGGTGTATATAAGTTTTTTCACTTTCAGCTCAATGCAAGCATCAATAACATTCTTCGTGCCTGTTTGAGATGCTCCAAGATATAAAGTTACTAAAGAAATATTAACTGGGCATGATGGACTGGTGAGGATATAGAACTTTACCTTGTACATTGACAGAGTAATGCAGCTGGTAGTTGTTGATTGAAGAATCTGGGGCAGCCATGTGGAAAACAACTTCAGCTCCTTCGCAAGCTGCAAAATCAGAATAGCGAGCATGTAAAGGTTCCAATTTTGATAACTCAATTTAGTTTTTTAAATGAGTTGGGAAAAATGTGACTCCTAAATACGAAGCCAGACGGAAGTTGAATTCGAACTCCTTCAGTTTTTGTGTGTGGATATGAAATTAAGGGGAACAGAAGTTTAAAGGGGTGACCTTTTAACACTTGGGACTTGTCCCGTAGATCCATCGGCACATAAACGGCGCGGCCCGACCGGAGAGCTTGGCCGAGAGTGCCATTTTCTTCATGTGGCTCTAAACTAATTTCAGGACTTAAGTCGGCGACCCGGACGTGGAACATGCCGTGGCGAATCAGCATTTCCACCAGATGGCGAGCAACAAAACCTCTTCCACCGGTGACAACAGACCATCTTTCTTCCCCGCCCACCATTGTTAGTCACTCCTCAGTAGAATATGCCCAAATAAAAGGGTGTTTTTCTTTGAATACGGGACAGGTTTAAAAAACGGGAGTTTAATAAAAGACCTACTACCTGGGTTCCTAAAAATTCTTCAGGACTTGGCAAGCTTATTAAGAAAGTAGAATAAAGTGGAAATGTATGATTGTTCTTGTGTAAGAAAAGGTAAAATGAATGTGAGCCACACAAATTGTCCAAAAGGGGAAAGTGGGAAGTATTTTTGGGAACAACCCAAAAAGGAAAGTGGGAAGTATTTTTGGGAACGGAGGGAGTATTTCTCAAATATGGCCTCAAACTTGAAAAAAAATGTTAAATAAAGTCATATTTAGGATGTTCTGTCCAGACGACGTCATTTGGTATTTTTCCCAGTGGAATTTTTTGATGAAATTTTTTGAAAATCTTACTCATTAAGTCTAGTTTACTCATATAAAATTTGAACTAAAACTTCAATCGGGAAGGCATACAAATGAATTCTTGATGATAACTGCGCACTTAAAAGAGTAGTTATTTTCAAGAATTCATTTGAATGTCTTCTCAATTGAAGTTTTAGTTCAAATTTGATATGAGTAAACTAGACTTAATGAATAAGATTCTCAAAAAAAATCATCAAAAAATTCCACCGGGAACCGCCCCAAATGGCGTCGGCCGGACAGAACATACTAAATATGGCCTTATTTGACATTTTTTTCCAAGTTCAATGCCCTATCTGACCCTTATCCCCTATTTCTATGAATTTGACCGATAAAGGGTCAATTTGTTCTCGAAATTTCATAAAAAGGGTCAAATAAGTTTGTATTATCCGACCGTCGCCATTTGGGGAGGTTCCCGGTGGAATTTATTTTTTGATAAAATTTTTGAGCATCTTATTCATTAAGTCTAGTTTACTAATACCAAATTTCAGTTAAAACTTCAATCAGGAAGGCATTCAAATGAATTCTTGAAGGTAAATGCGCTTTCAACTGCGCACTTATCTTCAAAACTTCATTTGAATGTCTTCCCGGTTGAAGTTTTAGCTGAAATTTGGTATGACTAAACTAGACTTAATGAATAAGATGTTCAAAAATTTTCATCAAAAAATTCCACCGAGAACCGCCTCGAATGGCGACGACCGGACAGAGTTTCCTAGATAAGAACTTATTTGACCCTTTTTATGCAATTTGAATGATCAATATGACCCTTACCTCTTTATTTGAGCCGTTCGAAATGTTTTATTTCAGTGGACACAACTTTTTGTGGCTGTGGACAATTTTTAGTACTCCGCATATTTTACTTAAGTATTTAAGTATTTAAGTTGAGTATTTAACTTGAGTACTTGTTTTTACATAATTTAGTGTTAAAATTAAACTTTAATACTTTCTTCGTTCTCTTTTAATTGTAACAATCAACATTTCACGTTTACATCGCACAAGTTTGACCATTAATATCTTGCATTCCCTATTAGTAAAAAAATTAAAAAATTCATATTTTGAAAATCTAGAATGAGAAGCATTTAACAATATTTTTTTAAATTAAATTTATAATATATTAATTAATAAAATATAGTCAAAATAGAATATGTGAATAGTGTAAAAAGTCCAATGTTGCAATTAAAAGAAAATGGAGGTAGTATATGCACAGTATAAGTTTTGTAATAATTTGATAAGTAAAATTGAAATTACTTTTAGGATTATTTGCTTATTTTATCTCAAACTATCATCAAATTCATAAATTTATCGCATACATTCACTCTTATAAAAAAAGACTCAAAACTTCACATTTTTCAATAATTATGCCTTTCAATAAATATGATTTTCTTCTTGAGTTTTACTAATTCTTTCATTGAAAATGTAATTATGAGAAAAGTTGGACCAGGGTCTAGGTTGCCCCTCTCTAGCTCCACCGCTGAATGAAATTAATGAAATTCTGACAGAAACGGTTGAAATGATTGAATTTACCATATTATGAAAAAATTATATTTAAAATATACTGAGTATTTTTTAAATATTAATAGTTTAAAACCTAACAAAGTGGAAAGTTTTTTTTATTTCGCGGTCTTTCCCTAGCAGATCTAGGGTTTGGTTTTTTCTTAGCAGATCTAAGGTTTGGTTCTTCCGGTCGGTGAATCCCCTTCACTTGTGTCCGGTGCTGGGATTGGATTTGAGGCAGATTGACAAGAATCCTTGCCCAAGCTTGACGACATCGAAGCCAGAGTTCAGTGATCGATTTCTTCGTGTGCAAGGTAGCAAGGGCATGGCAGCGGTGAAGATGACCGCTAGCAGTGGATTCGCTACGAGCGCGGGACAAGGAGAGGTGCACAAATTTCGAGCAGGTCAGATGACGATTGACAAAGAAGGATCAATTAGAGTGGTACCAAGGATACAGTCTCCTCATGATACACTGTCATGGGTTGTACGAGGTGCTAGAGTCCGTGGAAGTTTTCCTTTTAGTTATTTTTATTCTGTCATTTGGTTTCTTGTTATCGTCTATGTTGTTAGGTTTGTCAGTTTGTTTGGAAATTCAGCCTTCTTTTATGTTGTCATTGAGTATGTTTAGATCTATAGGAACAATGATGGTTGTGTCAAGTCCGCTACATGGTTAGCGATTCGCGTTGCTCTTTCAGGGGTGACCGTCTCTAGGTCTGATCATAGGTTTTACGGTCGTAGTTGTTGGATTTTGGTCGGTGTCAGTTTTTTGTTTCTGTTGATTGATGTAATGATCCTGAAACTTATGATATGAAAGAAGGCTAGTTGACGATAAAAAAAATAGTTTAAAGCGTAACTTAATGTTTTTTACAACAACATATGGTTGGGGGAAGGCTCCACGGTACCAATCTTGATGCAGAAAGTACCACGAATCGCGATTCCTAGGTCTTTTCTCAATGGCAGCACTGGCAATTTATATCCTACACCCGGGTGTACATGTACACCCGGTTTTTTGTAATTAATAGCAAGTTTGAGGGTAATTAATAGGCTGAGCTGAGCAGTTTCCATTTTTTTCGTCGCATGCGTGCCTGCGCAGCCCTTGCCCTGAACGTGAGTGAGCTGATCCGTTGTATTCTCCTTTCTCCTTTTTAGCTACTTTAATGTTTGTGCTTTCTTTTTAATTTTTTTTATTCTCCTTTCTTTTATTGTTTTTTTGTTTGTTCTCCTATCTTTTTTGTTTTTGTGTTTTAGTAATCGTCTACTTTAATGTTATATTCTATTATTATGAAAATGTATTATATAAGATATTATAAATCTATACTTTATTTTAAACTCAAATGAGTAAAACCAATAAATATAATGAACATACACAAATGAGCTTTTGAATTTTTTAAAACTCATTTTGTAAGTTATGTATGTCCATTTATTACCTCTGTTATACTCATTTTAAAAAGTTATATCAATGCATATTTCAAAAGTCTCATATTACATTAGATTCACATAGAAGTTGATTATACACATGAGACCACAAATCATGATACTCAAACGCACGATTCTAATACTCAATAATGGAGGTTTGATGCTCACTGCAAATGTCTTGATGCTCAACGAACAAAACTTACAATTTTCATATCGATGTTCATCTTGTAAGTTACATATGCTCATTTGTATAGGTCTGTTGTTCATTAAAAAGTCATTAATGCGCATTTAACGGAAAATCGTGTTTTCCATTGATCTCAATCGATGAGGTTTGATACTCAATGAAAATGTCGTGATGTTCACCTAACAAACATTATGATTTTCATATCAATGCGCGTTTTGCAAGTTACGTATGCTCATCTGGCACTGATCTTATGCTCATTTTGTAAATGTCATATCAATGCATTTTTAAAAGTATTGATGGATAGTGTAGCCGGGGGTAGCATATCTGAGGGTTGTATGAGGACTTGGCCACTCACAAGCGTTTTGTTCCTTGTACTTGGTGTCTTCAATATGTATTTATTTTCAAAATGGGGGGCCTTGGGCCGTGGGATACACTCGTAAAGTATGAGGGCTTGGCCGCTCATATGTCACTAATAGAATTTGACCAGGTGGTGTACATTCCAGTGTCTATGGACCTCGGTCCCATTGGGGCGTTTGAGTTTGTACGTTCCTGGTTTGATGATGGCTGCAACGACATGAGGGCCTTCAAATTTTGGTGTCATTTTTCCTCCATCGGTTGGTTGGCTAGCTTCTCTCCTTCGAAGGACATAGTCCCCCACCTTAAATTCTCGGGAACGGACCTTGGCGTCGATGTAGCCATTGACTTGTCTTCGATAGTTCTCCGCCTTCAGGAAGGCTTGCTCTCGGCGTTCCGAGATTAGGTGAAGGTCGAGGGCCATGTTGGCGTCGTTGACCTCAGGCTCATATTGGTCTACCCTTCGGGTAGGAAAAGTTACCTCAGTGGGAGCCTTAGCTTCGAATCCATAGCATAGGGAGAAAGGTGTTTCGTCCGTTGCTCGCCTAGGGGTGGTTCGGTAGGCCCATAGGATATTGTGAAGTTCTTCTACCTAGTCTCCCCCTTCAGCTTCAAGTTTCTATTTTAGTCCCTCAAGCAAAGTCCGGTTAGCGTTCTCTACTTGACCGTTGCCCTATGGGTAGGCAACTGATGAGAAGGTGTGCTTGATGCCCCATGCCTCTAGGAGGGCACAGAAGGGGGCTGCCTCGAACTGAGTTCCATTATCGGAGATGATTTGTTGGGGGACGCTGAACCTCGTGAGGATGTTTTTGAGGACAATGTGGTGGCACCTGGCCTCAGTAATACTGGCGAGGGGCTCAGCCTCCACCCACTTGGTGAAGTAATCAATGGCCACGATGATGTACCTGTTGTGGGAGGTACCCATCGGTAGTGGGCCTACCAGGTCAATGCCCCATCTAGCGAATGATAATGAAGTGCTGATGGGGGCATAATTGACTCCTGGCCTTCCGGGATTCTTTTGAAAATGTTGACAGGCGGGGCATCTTCGGGCGAGATCCGCACAATCTCGGGCCATCGTAGGCCATAAATAGCCCTGGACTATGAGCCTTCGGGACATGGAGAAGGACCCTGGTGAGCTCAGCAACTGCCACTGTGCACTTCCTCCATGGCAACTTCGGCTTCATCTTGATGAAGGCATCGGAGTAATGTACCGTTATAAG